AACGAAAACATCCCTGTGTTATCAGGGCTGTTTCCAGCACAAATCCAAAACACAGCCCTGTACTAGCTACTGTGAAGGAAATTCTCTATCCCAGCTAAAACCAGCACAAGAAACTATTAGTAAGATCACTGCTAGAAACTGTATATAATTGTATACACACCACACAAAAGACGTCTAGCATTGTTTTGTACAATAGCATTTACAGATTTTTTTACAACCCATCATAGTCTTCATGTTGTCATGCAGACTAAGTGCAAAGCATTGGCCTGATTTAATCACTAGTTATAGTAATTTGCAAACCAAATTGTCATATTTTCAGTCTATCAACACACTGGATATACAATTAGCACCACCACTTCACACCAAGTTCAAAAAGCCACAATGATACAGGGTGCCTGGGTGGATCAGACCCTTAGCATATGACACACTATTATGAGTGTCTCCTGAAACAACTGTTATTAGCCGTTTTCAGGGACTTAATCTTTGGGGAAGTTGCTATGGCAGAGTCTGAGGTGTTCTATTTTTTTTTCCCTACTCTGCTGCAATGCCTGTGCATAGCATTGCTTTTGCCTTCTTTGGGAACCCAGTGCTGAGACTAAGAGAAATTTTAGACATTCCTTATGTAAATGGCCACAAATACCGCCATTCTCTACTAATGAGAGACAGTTTTAAAATATGCATTATTAAGCCTGTTTAGAAGAGCTAGCAACCTGATCTAACATGAAGAAATGGAAGTTCAGAAACATTCATTGTAAACTATAAACTTAGTACAGCAAGGATGATAAACTTTCTGAACTGTGATATTTCAACCGTACTATATATATTGTGAGTGTAGCACCAGATGTGCTGTAATAGACATGTAATTCAATTTTGTAAAATTTTGGGGTTTAGTTTACATCAGAAAGTGCACAGAAAATATTATCCATGAAGACTTAAGCATCCCCATGTGATAAAGAGGTGAAAATTCTTGTGGTACTATTGCAACAGCTGTGGTTCACGCTACTTAGAATTACAGACATATGTAATGTGATTGTTTACTTTAAGTTCCCTTGTAATTCTTTTCTTGGCAATACATAATACTCATGCCTAAAAAGCCTGGGAATTATACCTGAGCCTAGTCAGTCAGGTACGTGCAGAAGCTGTTTTTCTCTCAGGGAAGAGTGTGTTACCATCTAGCTATGTCTCTATAGCTAAATGGATATCCCTCCTGACTGATACACAGACCAGCAATTAATGGTGATTAAGTTTTCTTGTACTTGGAGTGGGACAGGTCAAAACTGATTACAGTTAAATAAGATAGAAAGGTTGTGGGGGAGGGAAAAGGATCAGAAACCTATGTATCTCAGGTGAAAAATACTGTTCTGCTTAAGTGAAATTGTGAATAGTGGTCTACTTAAAATGTAATTTATCACCTTACACAAGGTTGGGGATATCCCAGTTGTCAAACTTCAGTGCATCAGTCATTTGTTTTTCTTGAAAGATTATTGAAAGAACTTCTTTCCTTCAAGTTTCTAAATTACTGATTTCATAACCATGCACACTGTCCAGACATCTCTCTGCTCTTTAGCCCCAAGGAAAGCTAGAGAACAATGAAAAATAAGGAATGAACTCCAATTTCTCATTTATAACAGATCTTAATTTTTCCAGACCACCTATATTTTCCTTCTCATGTGAAAACTGAAACTACACAATAAAGAGATGGTTCACACCACGATCCACAATTAAACTTTGCATAATTCTTTTTAATGTTCAGCACTGAAACCTTTCTTGAAATGTAGTTTTCCTCAATAGAACTTGGCAGTTCATAACCCTTAATTCACCAGACATCTTCTAATTTTTGCCTCCAGCTCCCTGCAGTCTTGTGTAACATTCACAAACTTTTTGCAGAAGGTTTGTAAATGGATCAGTTAACATCTAGCTAAGTAAATCCGATTGTTAAAAGCTCTTATTATCGTAATCAAACAGACAGCTTTTCCTCTTTGGGTCATTTGGTATAAGGGCAAATTTAGCACTGTACTAATAACTAATGGTTTATCAACCAGAAGAAACATAACCTGCTTCTAATTATGGAGAAAAGGCAAGCTCAGGAAGTACTTCCACAGTTCACATACGTAAAATACAGAAACTTCAGAAATATTTAACTTTGAATACATTTTCTTCACATCATCTGAATTGCCTGCCATTATAATTGTAACCTCTTATCTCTACTGCAGCAACCGTTTCCTTTGGAGAAGAAAATTATGTTCGTTCATTCCTTTCATGATGATGTTCTCCAAATAATATGTATAAAATTAGCCATGCTGTTTCCATAAACCTTTAACAACTTGTTATCGTAAAATGTAATTTAAAACTTCCTCCATAAAATAGCTGCTTACTGAATGCGTAACATTCAACAATTACTTGACAAACATCAGCCTCCCTGACTACTTTCAAAGCTTCTTAGTAGCCAAGAGCTTCACAGTGAATTCATATCCAGACTTGCTTACTACGCAGGAATCAAACTTCATATTAATTTTATTGATCTTCCACAGAATTTCAGCTATGGTTTGCCAATACCAACCCCGTATTTCTGCACAACTGTGTTACTTCCAGATGATGGATTCTTAATTCTGTAAGGAAAGACCAGTGCTTACTGCAGCAGTGTGAATGGAAAAGCAAAAGGTGCATTTCACCAGTTCTAAAAGTTAAATCCAGACTTGATATTATGGTCAATCCAGAAAACTCTAGATGACAAAAGCTGAAAAGTACATTAAGACCAATACGTTCTATAAGCATGATTGTTCTGCTTCTTCAGTTCCCACAGTTTGGGCTTTTGTATTCATTTTCTAGGTGTGTATGATCTTCTGAAGATGACTGGGGAACTCTCTGCCACGTTTTATAGTTCTGTGACTTTTCAGTGAAGAGCACACACAGAAGGAATACATATTTGCTGTCTTTATAGCACATGAAGGCATGTTGTGCATATGAAGTTTCAGCTTTATGGTAGAAGTAGAGAGATAACCATGTTTTTAGCAAGCATGGTGCAACAGAGCAAAATTCAGAGTATGAAAGTTCAGCATGGGCAAACCTACGGTGAAAACAGAGGCAGTAATGTGTAATATAGCTGTAGGCAACCTGCTTAGCTTTCGTGAAGATACAGAGGATTAAACAAACATTAGGGATAAACCAAAATTAATCTACCTGAGGTATGAACACTACTATAGCTATAAGTTCATCCAAAATTTATTAAATGTTAACCTGATTTTTCCAGGAAAAAAAATAATTTTGGTTTGATAATGTCAACTTCAACCTTCTGCTACATTATTGAAATATTTTGTGCAGATCTTTTCATTATAAGCCCCCTGTGCTTAAAATATGCGTACTTCTGAAATGCATCCATAAGTTTGGATTTGCATCTCTCTTATCCTGCTACTTTATTCCTTCCCCATAAATTCAGTCCTTTCTTTGCAGATCAGAGTGACTACAGCATAGATGTTGAAATTTGTTCCAGTCCTGGGTATTCCACCTACCATTAACTTACTGCTCCCCTAACTTCCTCCTGTCCTTTTCCCTCTTT